GTCGTCACGTCGATTTTCTCATATGCTCCAACACACAGTTGCACGGGGTGCAGAATAGTTTCCCCCCACTTTTTGCCCGGTCTTTAGCAGAAATGTTCGTCGGTAAATGGATTAGATTTTTATACAGTGTTGTTTACATTCTGTGATGCGCGAGCTGATGACGTCACGCGAGCTGATGACGTCACGTCAAGACGAGTTCACTTTTTTTTTTCTCAACTTCGTGTGGAAAAATGCGGGGATTATGCGGTCTTTTAAAAATCGGATCGAATCGCGTTTTTCTGGAGGGTCTAGTCTACCCTCCCTCATACTGTAAAGCGTCTTTGAGTTGTGAAAAGCGCTATATAAATAAAATGCATTATTATTATTATTATATTGTTTTTCCGACCCAGTTGAGATTCAACCACGCCCATCTTCGTATGATGAAAACACGGATGCAGCGTCATAGAGCCACCCTTGGTGTTTTCACCACGTGGAATATGAATTTGACAGCTGCTTAATCCAGCCTCTTTTTCAAAGTGTTTTTTTAGAGATATGTTTGGCTGGAGGATGCAGTGCCTGTGTTTGATGAGCAGAGCTGAAAGGGGAATGTGGAGAGGAGGACATGAGCAGTCGTTGGCAATGGACACTGCATATGGGCCAAGAATCGTGCTTTTTTAATATGTAAGACGATGACAGCTACGCAGATCTGAGTTATATTCATTCACAATAAACAAGTCACATTTTCTACATAAGTGCAGTATTTGTAAGTAAAGTATACATGTATACTATGTTACTTTCCAACGTTGTCAGAGTATATAAAATGTACCTCTTGCCCAAGAACGCTGTCACGTTTTTGCAGCGTGGCTTTCGCCTGCGCTGACTGATTTAACCACGGCCATTGAGGATGATGAGGAAAACATGGATGCAGCGTCAGACAGCCACCCATGGTGTTTTAAGCAAGCCCCCAGGAAGAGCGCCGGACTCTGACGAAAATATTCGTTGTGGCCTAACAGCGGTATTTCAATTTCCGTATCAATCTGTGACGTCACCCGGCCCAGAAATACTTTTTTCCCATTGACTAACATGTGGAAAGAGTGGTCTGTAAATTAGCGGATATCTTTTTTTTTAACTAAATAAACTAGCCAGTATGAACTATGTTATAACCTTTATTAGAATCATGAGGTCCTTAAAGTTTTAAAATGCGCTAAAAGCCGAATCCAGATTTATTTGATCTCTCCATTCATTCGACTCTACTGAGCCGAGAGTGGGATATTGGGGGTGGGGCTTAATGACATGAGAATGGGCTTAATGACAGGAGGCTGGGCTTAAGGGGCAACTCAACTGCGCTCTATGAGCTACATACTGGTACTTCTGCTCTGAGAGCAAGGCATGATGGGTAATCTGTGACGTTTTGCTCTCAAATCTCAGGCCATTTTGTCCTCATGCGCCAATGAGCAGCTCTCATAGGAAATAACGAGACCCCGCCTCCCACGCTGAATCCAGTTCTTATTATACATCCATGGTTTTAAGATATTTTGGATTTAAGATGAATAAACTAGCAAACAATATGTTGTTTTTCTTTTTCACATTTTGTACGTATGATTCACTATTTGGGTATATGTACTATGTTACTTTCCAACATAAAAAAAAAAAAAGTGAGAATTTTGAGATTTTGAGTAAAAATACAGAATGTATAGATTTTGTGAAAAAGTCAGAATTTTTAGATTTTGAGTAAAAAAATACAGGATTTTGAGAAAAAATACAGACATTTTAGATTTTGAAAAAAAGTCAACATTTTGAGGCCCATACCGAATATTTTCGGTACGAATACGTATACCGTTACACCCCTAATATGTACTATATTACTTTCCAACATTTTCAAAGTATATCAAATATTCCTCTTGCCCGAGAACGCTGTAACGTTTTTGCGGCTCACATGGCTCACTCTTATAAACACGCCAGAGTAGACGTGATATTACTTGAGCGTTGTTAATTGCGACGTTCTCTTTATACGTCCAGGACAAAGTTATTTATCATTCTAAGTCTCTGAGTCCTAGTTGCAAGAGCATCGAGCTACGTCGATGCAGAAGTAGGCGCGGTTAAATCTCAACAAGTGTGGAAAAAACGATGGACCCTTCCAGGTCGACGCAGGCACTTTTAACATATGTCATCCATCTTGTTTTGGTGACCTTTTGTTTAAATGCTGACATTCTGTTGGACAATCCTGACATTGCATTAATGTGAGACCTGCACACGTCTACCTTTTCTTTGCTGCAATTCAGAATATGCTTTCTTTCTCCTGCACCAAAAAATAGAATAGCAACTTTTCTTCAATTGTTATTTAATTTCTTCCCACATAATGGCTTGTTGTGCTCCTTTCTGCTGGCCATGCTTTGTCCTCCTATAGTTCCCATACCTCACCAAAGGCACAATGACACTCCAGCACTAATAGCTCTTTCTCTTCTTCCTGTTTTGGCTGGCTGCTTTATCCTGCAGCCGGAAAGATAGCACAGCTCAGATCATTATGAAATTGGCTCGTTCCGTTAACCTTGGCTTCCGATAATGTCGTCTTTTAGAGGAAATTAAAGTTGCTAGTGAAAGCAATTGAGATATGTGAAGAATGGGCCTAAAAGGTAGAGCTGTTACTGTATAAGCCTTTTTTTTCCCTCGTCACGCTGATAAAAACTCACCGTGGTCGTTTGTTTTCTTTGTCTGTATCATATCAAGGCAGGATAAATAAAGTTTCTCATGAAATCAATCTGAAAGTATGCCTCGTGGGCAAGCTTACTGCGGGGGAAAGGGCGGGTGTGGGGCGGCGTTTAAACTGCAATGAAATATCGATGTAAAGAAAACATGTCAGTCCAGAACAAGGGGCTGGTATAATGAGCAGGAGACGGTCTTAAGGAGAATACTAAGCAATGGTGATGACAGACAGGCTGACAGGCTGGCACAGCCCCTGCCACTCAGGAGAGGCCAGGGC